CTGCTATACCATGTGCTTGCCCTCGACACTGAATTTGCTGTTCCTCAAATAAAACAAACTATTTCCTGGTAACTTGGGGGGAAAAAAGGAAGATTGAAATTTTCCATGTAGTATTTCTGCAGTTACAACAAAGCTCCAGAGAGAAATAATAGTATAGTATGAACTCTAGATGTGCTAGAGATAAATTTTATTTTAAAAACCATTGTGGTCCCATCTGGCAGAACGTTAGACATAGTGGGCCAGAAGAAGTAAGCTCACTCAACACAAGCCAAGACTTTTAATAAATAATGTAAATGTCCAGTGATGAGGAAAATCACTTTTCTTGAGTCTGTATAGCAATGTATGTCAAGACATTCACTAGAGAAGCAAAACTGGGCAGTGATAATAAAAAATTCCTTCCTTCTCTATCAGATCAAATTAAATGAATAATAAGCAAAAATTCAAATGCAGATCACAGGTTATAGAAAAACAATTAGTACTACTAGGAGACTCAGAAATCATCTGGGTCATGTGTTTATAACAATTCTAACAAAACCAATCTTAGTTTTTAAATAATACTTAGAACCATATAATAACTGATTTTCTTAATGGTGATAGATTCAGTCTGCCATTCAGTCAACTTTTATATCAGCAGAATCCTGATATATATTATGGTATTAGATATTAAGTATATCATTAATTCCTGGCCTTTTACAGTGTGAGAGCCCCTTTTTAACATCAAAAAATTCCACCAACTCTGTGATAAATATTAGAATTGGTTCCAGAAAATACGCAATGACAAAATGCTACTTTGGCAAAAGTAATGCTTTTTAATGAATTTGTGTGTTATTAATCATAACAAAATAATAATTATGTTTGGGAGATAATTACAGAAAAGTTATGTTTGATTAGTTATTATGCTGAGTCATGCTCCATATTTTGTTAGAAGACCTTCTAATACAGAGGTATCAAACATGCAACCTGCAACACTTGTTGAGTGTGGCATGAACCAGATTACTATATAATTGGGAAATATTTATAAAGTAAATAAAAATATAGTAAAACATTACATCTTAAAACTTAAGTATGCATCCTGCAGGGATCTTTATGTATGAATTAGTGACCTTGGTTTTTATTTGAATTTGATGCTACTGTTCTAGTACCTGAATAGTTTAATTTTGTCTTTGTATTACCAGTGCGTGTTAAATAGAAGTAGGCACTTAATAAATATTTGTTGAATTGAACTGGAACTGAAGGTACATCAAAATGATACTGGTTGGTGCCCATGGTTCTGTAATACAAGAATTAACAGGAATATTATGTGACAAAAGCAGCAATCACATTTTCTAGTTTTATTATTCATTTCTAAATAATATTGAATTTTTTCCTAATTTTTTTTAACCTTGTAAAATATGTATATATAGATACAGATTTCATATTTTACAAAAGAGGCAAGGGATTAAATTTCTGATTTTTTGGATCAGGTAATTTCAAAAATTATTTTTGTGTAAGTAAGTATATACCTGGGCCATTTTGCGTATCTTTTTAACTCAGCTGTAAGCATATGACTTCTCTTTGTTTTTCATACATGAAGATTAACATAGGCTAAGTTTACTGACATGAAAAAAAGTCTAGATTTTAAAAAGAACAAAATGCAAGTCAGTACAGTTTTTAATAAGACCTCAAAGTACGTGACCTCAGCGTGACTAGTATATATTTTTTTACATCATATATCTTTGGAACATTGATAAATATAGGAAGAAAGGGGGTAAAAATGGTATCAGCTAGTAAAATTTTGGGGGCTTTCCAAAATTAGAGATGTTAAAATAATTTTTTTTTTGTACTTTCAAATGTTAGGCACAACAGACAAAATCTTGGGACTGTGGCAATAGTCTGAGATAGATATTACGAGTCCATGCCTGTTTATCTCTCACTTCTTTATAGATCTTTTCCATCATAAATTTTTCCTAATATACTAATTGTTTTAAAAATATTCTTTGTTAATTATTTTCTGCGTGTAAAACTCAAATTTTGACCTGAAGTTATTCCTAATTGTGTCTTCTCCGAGTTTTATTTATCTTTCGAAGTGCTTTATTAGTTGAGGTGCTTTTGAGGTTCTAAGATATCCTTAGAAAGGTGAGGGGGACAGACAATCTGTAGGTTTTTGTTTTTCAGCAGGTACTATTAGATCGCTTTCCTTCATGTTATAATATTTACTCATAGTACTTTGGTTTCACTCATTTTCTCTTTAGTATTTGGGATCCTCTCTGCTTTTTTTTCCTCTTGATGTCTTTGGTGTTTTTGGTCTTTTCCTTGTATTTCCTGTCACATTCTGACCCCTCTTATTGTACATGTATGTTTAATATTTCTACTTTTCTGCATTTTTTAGTAAAGTCTTTAGATCTTATTACTTAGTCAGTTTTTGTAAAGGTGTCATGTTGAGCTAAGAGGTACATAAATTCTTTTCTAATCTTGTTAAATTATTTGAAATCTGTCATCTCCAGTTTTTTGTTAGTTCTGCTCAAGACCTTAACTTCTATTTTGTTTATCTTTTAGGTAGATTTGTCTGACTCTGAAAGGGCTACATTAAGGCCCCTCATTTTTTATGGATTATAGTTTTTTACTACATATTACTTCTTCCAGTTTGACTAAATTTCCTTTAATCATTTAGAAGCTATGCTGTTGTATAGTATAAAATATTGATTATCTATGGTACCATTAAGCATAATGTAGTTAATTAGTCTGCTAATTAATCTTTTTATCTATATTTATTGTAGCCTTATCTGAAGTGATTGCTACCTCTGCTTTTTTTTTTAGTTCATATGAAGAATCATAGATTTTGCTCTAGAACTCTTTATGAATCTTTGTTTCATGTGTGTTTTATGTAAACAATATATTGTTGGATTCTGCTTTCTTATCTATTTTGTATTCTTCCATTTTATGAGTTCATCCCATTCATATTCACAGGTATGATCATTAATTGGGCATTACCTTCCATCTTGCCCTCTTGCACTTTTTTCTCTCTTTTGTTCTACCTGCCTCTTCAAATAAGGTGGGAGAAGAGAGTGAGTTTACCTGTCATTTGTGATCCTATAAGTGAAACAGCTGGTTTCCTCTCTGTTGCAGTTCTTCTTTTGCCCTTACCCTGCCCCTGATCCTAGGTTTTTATTTTCTTCAGTTCCTTTTAATCATCTCTTTTATGTAACTTCATGACTATCCTTTAACTATCCTGGCTTTCCTCTTTTGACATGTGTCCCTTCCTTGTCCTTGTCCCCTTCTACTTTTCTTTTGAGTTTTATTTATTTCTACATAGAAATCTTTGTCTGAATAATTGTGTTCAATTTTTCTTTATCTGATTTAGATGAAAGTAAGGTTCATGGGATGCCTGTTTACCCTACCCCTTCTTCTATGATTACATATTTTTCATCTTATGTACTTCTAATATGCAGTAGTGATTTCTCTCCCCTTCCACCTTTCTTACCCATTAGAGTCTTCTGTCTTTTCTATTTTGATATTCTCCTAAGACCATTAAAACAGAATAAAACCACCCACAGATCCTCTGTCATTTTAACCTTTTGCTATGATCCTTAAAGATAAGAAAACATTTGTTTATTATTCTCCATTAACACATAAAGAATTCTTTGTCACGTGTTCTCTTTTAATTAAATACACACACACACACACACACACACACACACACACACACACCTTTCTGTGTCTTAGAGCTTGTGTTTCTATTTCTACTGAATGTCTACAGGTCTCCCTTCCACATCATGGAGATTAAGGTGTGGTACCCCTGGAAATCTGGATCTGGAAAATTTGCTTAAAATTTTTGGCCCTCCCTTCATACCAGAGAAGAAATCCAATTTTTTCTTTTTCTTTTATGGGGTGTTTATAGTACCTTATTGTAAATTTTGGGTTAAGTATTTGATCCTAGGTTCTGTGTCATCTGTTGGCCTTCGTGTGTTGTCTGCAGCTTCTGTAAAACTCCCCCAAAATTCCCATTTAATTTTTTATGCCAACCTTCAATATATTGAAACCATGATGGGGGAAGTCATGATGGAGATAGTCACATTATGGAAGGGATAACTATACTCATTTCTGGCAGATTGATGGGCAGATACAGCATTGGGCCTGGAGTTAGGAAGACATTAGTTCGAATCTACCCTTAGGTGATTTACTACTTTTGTGACTCTGGGCAAGTCACTTAATCTGTTTGCCCCAGTGTCTTCAACTGTAAAATGGGAATAATTATAGTACCTATCTCCCAAGGTTGTTGAGGACCAAATAACTTAATATTTTTATAGTGCTTACAGTGCCTTTGCATAGTAATTAATAAGTGCTCCCTTCATCCCTCCCCCTCCCCCTTCCTTCTCTCTCTTTTATAAACACTTTGTAACATTTTGTTTGTAAACATTTATTTCTCACTTTTTGAAAGATCATATTCTAAGCTCTCCCTTTAGAGAGTCTTATGTGATCTCCCTTATGGCTCCTTGATACCTGAACTTTTTCTTTCTGGCTGCTTGTAATATTTTTTTCTTTGGCTTGTAAGCTCTGGATTTTGGCTATGACATTCCTGGGAATTTTTGTTTTGGGGTTTCTTTCTGGGGGCGACTAGTGGATTCTTTCTATTTTAACTTTGCTCTCTGTTTCTAAGAGTTCCAGGCAGTTTTCATTTATAATTTCTTGAAATATGGTATCCAGACTTAAAAAAAAATTATTTTTGGAATCCTCTTTTTCAAGCAGTCTGATAATTCTTAGATTGTCTCTCCTTGACCTGTTTTCCAGGTCAGTTTTTGATATAATATTTCTTAGATTTTCTTCTTTTTTCCTGAACATTTTGTTTTGTTTTATATTTCTTGTTGTCTTATTGAGTCATTTTCTTTCTGGCATATACTAATTTTCAGGCTATTCAGTTTTTGAGTGAAGTTTTCTACAGTCTATTCTAAGGTGTCAATTTTCCTTGCTATTCTTTTCTCCCTAGTTTTTCCATTCTGTATCTCTTGTTTCATTTCTTCCAGGTACTCCTGCAGTCCCTGTGGCCAGGACATTTTTTTCTCCGAGGCTTTACCTGGACTTCTTGTGGGGTCACTATCCTCTTCGGGTTTTAGCCACTGGGCATCTCTCAAACCAAGGTATTTTCCTCATGGTTTTTAGAGTTTTCCTTGGTTGCTCATCTCATCCACCCATTATCTAGGATCTGGGGATTGGGGAGGAGCTGTTTTTGAGTCATGCTGTGGGACTTAATAGTGCAGGCAGGGCCTTCCTGTTTCTGAGCATAGTGGACCAAATTAGGTTCTTTCTTCAAGGAATTCTGAGATTTTTCTGGTGTTGTGCTCTGCCTGAGGACTCCCTTTTGTCACAGGGCTCCAAGACCCTTCCATGCTGTAAGCTCTGCCTTGTGTCTTTTTCCTTAAACTACTGAGGTCAGAGGCTACTACTTCCATTCTAAATTACCATCTCATTTTTCAGGGCTTATTAGGGCTTGATTTTGCCTGGGGCCCCTGTCTGGCTGCTGGGTTCAGGCCACTAGTGCCATGTTTAACCCTGTCTGGAACACCTTGGTTCTTCTCCTTGCTTGGGCTGCCCTCGTGTTCTTTTTGGCTCAGATAGAGTACTGGGATGGACTTAACTCAGGGTATCTTAAAGTTGTTCTTCTCATTAGGTATCTAGCTTAGGAGAGGGACTTTATGTGTTCTGAGTAGGTGCTGCATGGCATTCTCTCCCTGATTGGCCTTGGGGACTGCCAGGCTTATTGTGGACTTAATCTAGTCTTTTGATTTTAACTTTTAGGTTTTTCATAACCCATAGTATTTCTTTACTGTGTTTGATAATTATTTTCTTATCTCTGCTCATAACTTCAGCCTGGCATTTCTGGATTGGGACTTTGTAGCAGTTCATGCTCTGCTTCTTCTTGCACTTGTGGATGGGGAAAAAAAGTCCTTATTTGATTCTCTTCATTCCTTAGTGTGAATGTTACTGCTGCTGCAGTTCTGGAATTGATGGCTGGGGCCAAGCCCTATCTTCTGTGCAGTCAATGGTTTCTTCTTCCTCCTTTGGTGCCCAGTGTGGGTGTTGACTTTTCTCTGTCTCCTTTTAGTGTAGCTCCAACCTAGAGTTGGTTCTGTTCACAAACATGGCCCTCACAAGCTCCGAGTGGATGATGGTGATAGCGCTGGTCTTGGGCCTTGTGCGAGGTCCCTGGCATATGAGCTTGCTTTGATCCAGTTCTTTTTTCCTGAAGGATTATCCTTAGGATGTTATTCTTAGTTATAAGCCTTTATCATTTGCTTTTTGGAATATTGTATGCTAAGATTTTCTCTCCTTTGTAGTAGTAGCTGTCAGGTATTTTGTCTTAACTATGGTTCTTTTGTACTTAAACTCCTTTCTGGCTGCTTATTGTATTTTTCTCGTTTACCTAGAAGCTCTGGATTTTATTTATATTTCTAGGAGTTTTCTTTCAGGAGATGACTGGTAGATTCTTTCTCTTTTCACTTTGACCTCTGTTTCTAATACAGGGGTGTTATTTTATTAAGGGGCTTTGTTCTAGGAAGTTTGGATTGTCAAAGGGCTGCACTTGAGGATGTAGAGGGCCACAAGTTCCACACCCCCGTTCTAATATATCTGGGCAGTTTATTTATGATTTCATGAATTATGGTATCCAGGCTTTTTTTTTTGTTGGTAGGCCTTGTTTTTAGGGAGCCTGATGATCCTTAAAATGAAAATAATAGCTAAAATTTATATAGCATTTTAAGGTTTACAAAAGCATGTCATTTATATTATCTCATTTGATTTGATTCTCACAATAACTCTGTGAGATGTAGGTATTATTAAATTAATTTTATGGATATAGAAAGTTAGACTCAGGGAGCTTAATTGATTTTCCCAAGAGTCACACATCTAGTAAGTATGGCAGCATTGAATTCAAGTCCAATTATAAGTCCACCACCATAAAACCTTGCTTCTGTTTTTTTCAATTTCTTTATTTTGTTTACTATTATTAATTGTCTCATTGAATTCTTTTTGGTTCATTCTGTTTTTCAGGTGTCTTGTGCTTGTGTCATGTTTTCAGCTTTCTTTTCTGAGTTTTTTAATCTCCTTTCAGCTTTTTCTTCCGAATCTCCTATTTCATTTTATCTCTTTTTTTCATTCCTTCCAAGTTTTGTTGTTTTTTTAGCCAAGCTGTCTCCCAGCCTCACCCCCAGTCTCTGCATGTCATTATTGTCAGGTTGTTTTCTTTGGATTTTCTCTTGGATGACTTTTGACTCATAATATTTATTTGTAGTGTTTGCCATATTTTGTTTAATCATCTTTATAGCTTCACATGGATTTGAGATTTCTGTCATAGACAGGCTCTGCCCTCTTGAATGGGGTCTCACTTTAATTTCCTCTCTTCCTCCTGCTGGCTTCTTCTACCTTCATGTTTCTGGGCTTAGAGTTTTGGCAGTCTTTAGTGTCCCCATTAAGATTCTATGGTTGGCTGTTCTTTGTCATGGTATTGCTGTAATCTATTGTTCCCTGTCTCCTGGGGTTTTCCTGGTTAGGATCTTGTTCCTTCTCTTCTCTGTGAGACCTCTCTAGTCATCTCCTTTGGTTTTCTGCTCTCGCTGGTGTTTTCTTGGTTAGGATGCTGCTGGGAACTTCTAGCCTTGTTTACCTGCATTTGTGCTGACTGTTTTGGCAAGACCCTTTTTCCAGGGTCATTACCTTTTGGTTAGTTAGTCATTAAACACTTATTAAGTGCCTACTATGTGCCAGGCAAGGAAGATGCTCATATGGTGGTCAGAAGAAATGATACAAGGACACTCTCGTGCTTTCTTTAAAGAGCTTTGGAATTGATTTTGTGTCATGGGAGACGCTGGTAAAGCACTATTCAGCTTGGCCTGCCCATATCAAAGAAGGTGTTGTGCTCTAGCAAAGCAGAATTGCAGTAGCTCAAAAGAAACGTGAGAATCACAAATTTAGAGACAACCCCACCTCAAAGGTTCATATGGACTATTTGTGCATGGCCTGTAATAGAGCCTTTTGAGCTTATATTGGTATGATCAGCCTCACTTGGACACACACTTGACTCTAACAGTGATGTCATTTTGGTCTAGATACTGACCTAAGTGCTGAGAATTAAAAGAAAGATAAAAAATAATCCATGCTCTTGAGGAACTTACAATATAATGGGAGAGACAGTGTGTAAATAATCATTTGCAAACAAGCTATGTATAGAGTAAATTGGAAATAGTAAACAGAGAAGGTGTTAGAATTGATAAATTGGCAAAGAGGCACTGTAGAAGGGCCTGAATCTAAACATTTCAGAATCTACAATACTGCCATATTTCAGAATTATTAAAGATTGCAAAAGATTTGTCAGAGTCCTTGATCAAGACAAATTACTTAATAAAGAAAACATTTTAGGTAGTAAAAGTAGTACAAAGGCATGAAATTAAACAGTTCTGTCCTATGATGGAGGCAGACCAAAAGAGCAGTTTAATAATAACTGTGAAGTAACATTACTAAATATGAGGACAGATATTAACTCAACCTATAACACTAGATATTTAGTTTTCCAAAAAAAAGTGTTTGTAATGAAATTTAAGCCTTGAATAGGGTGGTAAAATAATCATGATTGAGATATTTTATGTACAGAAAAGAAGTGCAAATGCTTTAGGGAAATCTTAGTAGTAATCATTAGGATTTTTTTCTGCAATAAATATCATTTTATGAATTTTTAATTAATATGCATTTAACCTGTGATGTTGAAGAAAATGTCAGCTGGAATGATGTGGTGTTTTCCTATAAATTTTAAAACAATATTGGGATAATATCGGAGTGCTACAAGGTAATTGAATTCAAGGTCTCAAAGTATGAATGAATGGAAATGGAGTCTGTAATAACGTCTCGGAAATCAGCATTGCTTAGCCCCACTGTCATGTTCCTGAAAGAAAGGAAGTATGTCAGAATTAATTATTCTTAAGATACCTAACTCCTTTTTAATCTTAAAATTATTAGGAAGTAGTATTTGTCAGGTACACATATGCACTTGTTAATCGAGACATTGTGTAATGATGCTGGCTAAACATAATATAAAACCTCTCTAGGACATAGTGCAGTGTACTTCACTCTGAATAAATGTATTACAGAGAGGTAGTATGTAAATTGAATTTTTATAAATCAAATCATTTAAAATGCACTAAGAAAGTGTATTTTAAAGAAAACACATGGTGGATCCTTTTTTAAATCAAAGAGTTTTGAGTAGTTGCCCCCTTATTTGCTACAGTGCCTGGCACACAACGGGCACTTAATAAAACATGTTTATTGACTCTTACCCTCTTGTTTTATTCTTGTCCTTGTGTTCTTTGGAGTTACACAATATGATTTAGGCTTTCCTATTGTTGTTTTGATATTTCATGGATGACATTTGACCTCTTCATCTCTTTGTTGTCCCTCACTTTTATGTTAATGACTAACCCACCTTCTTGTCTAGTCTCTTAGATGTCTTTGATGATATCTTTTATTCAACTTCTTGTTCTCATGTCATCATTGCTAATATGCTATAGGCTGCTTATATTCCCTTGCTTCTTTTCATTATTTTATTTTTAAAATAAGTTTTTATTTTTAGTCAGTCTGTCAACCAGCATTTATTAAATACCACCTTTGGGCCAAGCACTGGAGATTAAAAAAAAAAAAGGCACCCCTCCTTGCCCCCCAAATGAAAGTTTCAAACCAGTCCCTTCCCTTTTCTGTATATCTAATTGTCTATCTATCTATCTGTCTGTCTAATACTTTCTGGTATTTTATGAAGTATGCCATCTTCATTATCCCCTGCCAATACAAAAGAATAGGATGATGTCCCTTTTTTATTTCTTTACCTTGGGGCCAAGCTTGTCATCATAATTTCGTGACATTCCGTTTCATTTGTTTTCTTGTCCTTGTTGTATATTCCATTTATGTTGTAGGCATTGTGTATATTGTTTTTCTGGTTCTGCTTGCTTTACTTTGCATCCATTCATACACATTTCCTGATACTTCTCTTTATTAATCATATTCATTGTTTCTTTTTCCCTTTTAAAATTTATTTTTTAACATTCTTTTCTTCTTAAATTTCGAGTTTTAGATTCTCTGCCTCTTCATCCCTCTTCTA